ACGTTATTTTTCTATTTTCTATACATTATTCATTATAAAATTTGATATTATAGTGCATGTTTATTTTTAAGAATTCAAGTTAAAACAATTGTTGAAAGTATTGGGCAATGTCATAAAATAGCAATCTCCGTAAAGTCTGAAAAATGTATTGCAATGCCAGAATTTTCCGATCCAAAGAAAAACGATTACTTTGTCAAAATTGTAAAACATTAGATCAATAAAGTATCCCATGCGCTCATAAAACATGATATTTATCAAAAAAAAAAAAAGATCTATGTGCTGTTATGATATCAAAGAATTATAATTAATTTAGGTATCGTCAAATAACAATAAATTTTTAGCCGGCTTAATCTCAACTTAGATCCGTCGCCGAGATTTTGTGTAGGTGTTAATAACATGATTGTAAACATAAATGGTGTATATACATATCACACGCACATTTGGTATCATCGATCATCACTCAACATTTTGATGGGAAGCTATAAGGATAGGCAAGCTCCAACGGAGACCGTACCTACTCCGGTGTACATATTTCGTGGGCATGAAGAACAAATCAATAGTTTACAATTCGCAGAGGATAATTCATTCCTGGTGTCAGGGTATGCAAAAAAAAAAAAAATCGAATAGTTGTTCTTTAGCATTGTTTCTCCGCGAAAGTCAAAATCATAGTAAATGGACGTAAATCAAAAATTAATTCTACTTCACCTACAAGAGATGCAGGTGGAATCATCATGATTTGGGATATGAAAACGAAACGTTCGGTTATACGATTTAAGGCTCACGATGATGGAATTCTGCGAGCTACAGTATGGCGCGACAAATTGATTAGGCATGTAGGATACGAAAGGCTGCAGTTATTTATAATGATCTCGTTAGGACGGTGTCACATTCGTTATTAACGTGATACTTTGTGAAGGTAGTCATGGAAGGGATAATTTCATACACATTTGGAAATATAATCAACTTTTGCAGGGATCGAATGACACCAGAGAGGATGCTTCGTCATTGAAGCCTGAAAAGAGTTTGCCGGTAAATTCTTTGAACTTTTGCAAATTCGACATACGCTACAGAAAATCTGGAGTTGATGAAGAGCAAGAAGAGATCTTGGTGGTCATTCCCAATGTCACGGAATCTTCTGCTGTAAGCTTGGTGAAGCATTCGTTTGGGGAAAGACCGCTTGCTCACCTCAAATTCATATTGGCTAGATTGATATTTGGAATCTCTCGGATCAACGAATAATTGCATCTTCGATTGGATTGGATCAGAAACAAGAAAGAGGCATATTCATTTTTTTCATTTCTAATGCATTGTTGAATTTATTTCTTAATCATTTTTTTTCTTTCCAAGGTTATTGCATGGCCTTGAGATTGATCCAGTATCCCAACAATCAAGGCCCTCAACCGATTAACTATTTGATACTGGCAGCTTATGAAAATGGTAGTGTGGTCCTATGGTCGGTGACATTAGGAAGTGATGAAAGAACGGTTGTTGATCAATTGTGGAGTCGTAAGGAGCATAGTGAAAGTGGTCCGTATGAATCGATATCAAATTGCCATTAATATATATATGTATATAATAACGATTTCATTTTAGCTTTGGGTCTCGATGTTTCGATTGACAAAAGGTTTGCAATATCTACAGCTGGCGACAATAAAATTGTGAAATACATTTTTGATGAAGAGGTACTCTTCTAGATTCTGCTGTAAGAAATCCGTTTGTCAAACCACGCTAAACCGGCAAATTTTTGTGAATTCAGAATTACCATGCCGAACCGTTAATCAAGAGCACAACGGTGAAATATGCTGGAATAGCAGATGTAAAGATTCGGTCCGATGGAAAGATTTTTGCTACAGCTGGATGGGATGCAAAGTATGTTGGAACCTGAATTCCATCTTCTCATTTAATCACTGCCATTGCGGCGCCATTAACGGCGCGAATTTTTTTTATAATTGAACAATGAGAATTCGCGTATTTTCATCAAAGTCCCTAAAACCACTGGCAATACTACAATACCATCGAGAAAGTGTCTACGCATTAGCATTTTCCTTAATTTTGGGTCAAGATGCTATCAAACAATCCGCAACGTTCGAAAATGAACCCAAGGATAAGAATGTCGATGACAGGATTGTGCAAGAGCAGCGGCAACAATTCACGAAACATTATTTGGTTGGAAGCGGTAAAGATCACAGGATTAGTTTGTGGGAAATTTATTAATTATTTGATGATAATGGCTTACAATCTGATTTCACCTATCGGTCATTTATGTACTAAATATTTGATATATTGATCTTTCTTTCGCTGCTTTCAATAATCTTTTCTCAGCTATCTTTGCTGTACATATTTATTACTGCATGTTTCAAACGTGCAAATATGCACAATATATAACGCCTATTTATTATATTCACTACCATTACTTTCCGCGTTTATTTGTTTTTTTTTATATCTCGGTACTCAGCCTCGAGGATGTCTGGTGGTTTCGACGTTTCGTATTGTTGGGAGTCTTCAGATTCTCCCAGCGGTATATCGAGCCATCCTCTTGTATCTAACCAATATATACTAATCTCATCTATGTCACCGCGACCCAAACTTCCTTTCACTCTGACAAGTGCTCTTTTACCATTTCTCCCTGTTGTCCAATACTCAATTTTCACAGAATCTTGTTTTCTAAAAGTTCCAATGGTTCCAAATCCCAATGTTTGCGAAGATACCAAGTGAGGTGGCGAAAACATAATTGATGATGAGGACGAACCTCCATAATGATTTCGAAGATCATCATAATTACTGTCATATGCCATTTGAATCTGTTTAACAGATGATGCGTGCAATCTATTGACCGCGTTTTGCGTGAATGGTAAATTTAGCGGCCAATATTTACTCACAAGAAATATTGGATTATATTTTGCTGCGGTGTATACATTACGTGGTGGCCAAATGAAATCTAAAGTTGACTTTATTAACTTGTAGGCGGCAAAAGCGATTATTCCATTTATCACAACGTTCGATTCGAGATTCCAAAAAGAATAGACAGCCCCACCTAATGCTATCACCTTTTTTAAGCCATCGTTTGATGTCAAAGGCGTATACGGTTTGTTATTAAAAAGTCGGACCGTGTTTGCACGGCTGAATGGAGTGTAGGAATTCGCACGGGTTTTAAGAGCAAACGGAAAGACCTTTTTGTCTATCGCTGTTTCCGCACGAAGGCACGCGAAGGAGGTACAAAACAACTTTGAAGAGGGTCTTAATGGAGTAAATGAAAACTTTTTGAAATGCGATACCGAATGAAAAAATCCTTATGTAAGAAGCAATTGATTGATAATCAGTTTGGGAAGTGGTGCAAAGAACAAATTAGAGAACAAAGGTAAATCTACCTTTATTTGGCAGATCACAAAATCGTGTTATCCTCAATGAAGAGTATAATTTGCGATTATCGAACAATCGAACACTCATAGTTGGATCAAAAAAACATAAAAGAAATAGACCAGATGCTAAATATGTACTTTATCAATTTTTTTCTAATGACACATTTAACATCATTATGTATCATGTATTAATGTGTGAGGGACTCTTTTAATATAGATGGAAAAAAACGTTTTTATATTGATTATGAAATATGCGATTTTAAGATGATAGACACCACAAGATTTTTAATTAATGTTGTACGAATCGCGTAGATGTTATAAAATATAAAATATGATAATCAATTAAAAAAAATAATCGACCTTCTTGTTCAGATACCAAGTCATGTCAGAAAACGAAGGTGATCATACTTTACAAACGCATTCTTATTTTATACAAGACTCATTTGGATCGTTTATCTTTACATTTAGGACTTAACGATCTCGATGACACGCGAATCCAGAAAATTAAACCTCTCATACCACCGCAAATCTTGATGGAAGATTTGCCTCACACCGCGCGAGCATCCGAAGTTGTTAAGAACGGTCGCATTGGTGCTGAGGCAATAATAAAGGGTGAAGACGATCGTCTGCTTGTTATTGTGGGCCCTTGCTCGGTCCACGATCCCAAAGCTGCACTAGAATATGGTTCGTTTGAGCTTATTTTTTTCTTGGAAAATTTTCGAAATTTCCACAAGATTTAAATATAATTTTTATTGACACCTATAACAGCCGGTAAATTAAAAGCTTACTCAGATAGTGCACGCGACGAACTTTGCATTATCATGCGTGTATATTTCGAGAAGCCAAGGACCACTATTGGATGGAAGGGATTGATCAATGATCCACACCTGAATAACAGGTAATCTCCATTTTAGAACGAGTCACGATTTTAGGAAATTCTAAAGGATTATTTAATGGGCGCGCACAGCTTCCAAATTAATCAAGGTTTACGGATTGCACGTGGTCTTCTACGAGATATTGTACGAATTTCATGAATAATATTGAATCAAATGATTTTTAAAGGATTTGACTTAATGTCTAATAAACTTCAACCATGGATAGAATGAATTAGGCGTTCCGTGTGGATGCGAGTTCCTTGATACTATAACTCCACAGTATATTGCCGACTTTGTATCGTGGGGTGTGTTTTTCGAAAAAGTTTACTACTATTTGATTTATTATTTGGAACTAATATCAACTGGAAATTGAATATTTACAAGGCGCGATCGGTGCTAGGACGACTGAATCTCAGGTTCATCGCGAATTAGCATCGGGATTATCTGTACCAGTTGGGTTCAAAAACGGTAGAACATCATTGTCCTCAACTCTTAAGGCTGCATCACTATGTCTTTGCATATTAACACAGCGTACCTAACGTTTTAGGCACCGACGGCAGCATATCTATCGCTGCAGACGCTATAAAAGCGGCTAACAATGGGCATCACTTCCTATCTGTTACTAAACAAGGATTGAGCGCAATCGTAGAAACGAAAGTAAGTGAGCTGCAATTTTTTATAATTTACTCGTTTGACCCTTAACGATCGCAATTTTTTCGAAATTATCTCGATAGGGTAACGATTGTTGCCATGTTATTTTGAGAGGAGGCGCCAATGGTCCCAATTATTCAGCCGAACATGTTAAAAGCGTTGCTGAAAAAATGGATGCATCTAAATTGCCCTCGAAAATAATGATCGACTGTAGTCATGGTAACAGCCAAAAGGTTTTCAGTCGCCAGGTTAAAGTGGCAGAAGACATAGTATGTTGCTATTTTTTTCTTCAGGCAATCACAGTTGATATATATAACTTATTATCACGAACACCTTACGCAATAAATAAAGGTTGAACAACTCAAATCTTCGCCGACCGGAAAAAATATAATTGGTGTAATGATTGAAAGTCATTTGATAGAGGGTATGAAAGTTGTTACAAAATTATCAGAGTTGGATCAAATATTTAAATAAATTTTCAAATTAGGTCGACAAGATCTTCCAACTGACGGACCGTCAACACTTGTTTATGGGCAGTCGATTACAGATGCGTGCATCAGTTGGGACACAACGGTGCAAGTCTTGAATAACTTGCGAGAAGGTGTACGGGCTCGTCGCACTCGCAGTAATTGAGAAAACGAAAAACATTTAATGTAGTTTCTGTGGTTATTTATTTTAACACGACTGCATATCAATCTACCATTCATTACACTTAAAGGTACTTAATTCAATAATTCTTAAAGTATCAAGTTTCTCTACGTTCTATCATCGCTGTATTGAAACCACACTGCCTCGTGGTTACCTCGAATTCATTATAATTTTATAATTTATTTTTTTTTATGGCAAATAATGTACATTCACTTACTGCGAAAATTGTTTATTTCTTTAATGATTAACGAGCTTCTAATGAACACAGCTTCTAATTTAACATTAGGCAATAAATAATTTTTTACATCGTTTAGTTGTTAGATTAAATATACATGAAAAAATATGATGATTGATTGTATAAACTTTATGTTTAAGTTGATTGCCATAAAGAAATTACCTATCAGTTCTACTATTACAAGAGAATCAATTCATAAAGTTATTATTACGCTTCCGTTATATTGACTTCTGGATTTCTTTATACTAAAGTCATTTTATTCTTTATTTTTTATAAAGTCAATAACTTTTAATTGAGTTATTCTTATGTATTAATTCCAATTTACCTAAACGAGGATTACATTAACAACAATATAGTATTATTATATTATAAGTTGATGGAAACGTTCCTAAAACAAATTAATTGACTGACGAACATTGATTTTTTCAGCTAAGCTAGAATATTCTCTAATGAATAATCGTTAACACTATTGGATAAAATATCTTCTACAGCGTCATTATCAAGATCTTTGTATACTGTAGAACGATGTCTTTTGTAGATAATTTCCTCATCTATATCAATTTCTGAGCTTGGGCTATTAACTGGAGACGAAGAACCACCATTAGATTCGATATCAGAGTTCGTGTCCTCCGAAGACTTGCCTTCCTCAGGCGAAGATTCATTATTCAAATCAGGCTCGTGATTTACTACTTGATCTGGCATCACATTCTTTTCTTTTTTCCTCCTCTTCGATTTTGACTCTACGGCATCATCACTGCGTGATTTACGCATCCTGCGTTTGCGCTTCTTTCGAATTAAGTCAGATAAAGTAGTGTCCTCTGAAGGCATAAAAGGTTTTTCCATGAATTCATCGATCCTTCTACTTAAATTTAATATGTCATCGCTTGAAAATGAATCAGGAACAAACCACCTAGTTCGATCCTCATCTTGAAAGCGAGGAAAAAGTATTTTTTAAAAAATCTAACTCCTATATAGTTCATCGATTACATAGGAATAACATACCATCTTCCCTATGAAGACACATGACATCAAGCAGTAATCGGAATTTAGAATCGTTTTCAAACGCATTTTCGAGTTCTTCACTATCGGGTTCAATTGCTTTATTACGCACATTAGTTTAAAAACATGAACATTTTACGGTTAACTGCAACTAAATTATCTATGTTGAATTTACGAACCATAATTGGAGACTAATTTTGGCGGTTCTATTGGTAGTCCGAAAGCCGAGACATTCATTGGATCATCATCAAGTTCGAAAGATCTTCTTTCTTCCGCCACTTTTTCCAGATACTGAAGCATTTGAACTTGTTAATCTTGTACTCTCAAAAACAGATTTCATATATTAAAACCTACCCTCTGAATCCACCTTAGTAAATTAAATTTGCCCTCATCAAAAATTAAAGCTACCGCGACACCAAGTTTTTCGTCCAAATGTATACTTGGTATTACTTCGAGTTCGACGCACTTCTTCGATCTGCAATCACAGAATATAGAGATAAGAATTTTTGCAACACTATAGAAAATAAACCGATTTTACATACCGTTTTTTCTAATTTTTTTGTATAATTAGAAGAAATTTAGTCAACAATAAGAGAGAAGAAGAATGTTATTTAATGACAGAACAAACCGTGCCTTTTGTTTAATAGGTTTCTCTTGATAATCATTATCATCGCTAGAATTGTCCTCTTGATCAAGAAAATGAGTACTTTTGAGAAAAAGCTACATTTCCGTACCATCAATTAATTCATGTTATTGAGCTTGATTATAGATATTTAAAAAATTTAATTAAACTTCGACATACCTCAACAAATGATAATTTGTTATTCTCTACGTGTTCAAGTAATTTTTCGGTTATGAACAAGGCAAACTCTTTCAGGTTTTTCTGTTGGTCGGATAAATATTTATCTCTATCTCTATAATCCAGTAATATACGGTTCAGAAGTTCTAGGACTGACATCTAAGCAATAAGACTATTGGTAAATAATATTTTTTAAAAAGAAGAAATAAAGATTTTGTTGTCACACCTTAAAGAAGACCTTCTCGGATGAACAATGAACGCTTATACGATGAAACATCGTTGTAATTTGGTCGAGACTTTCCGGATCAAGGTCTTTATATCTTTCCAAGTAATTACAAAAAGTCGAGATGACGGAATCATTAACGAATTTCTGTAAATAACAGAAAGGAAGCATAAAATCAGCTAGAACAATATTTGTTGATATTTATTTATGAACCTAAAATAATAAGGCATTTAATCTTACCTTCTCAAATAATTCAAAAATGCATTTATGATTTTCACAGGACTCGCGCTCAACTTTAGAAAATTCCATTACTGTTTGATCACATCCTTCATCTTCTTGGTCACCATCATCATCTGTCAAAAGGTCATCTAAAATTAGAATTAATATAAAGTAGTCGAGAAAGTTAAATATCGTAACAAAGTGTTAAATATAAACAATAATAATTCCTACTTTTACTTGTCCGCGAGTTCACGACAATCTCATATTTTGTTTTTGAACAGCTCTCAAGTCTTTCAAGGAGAATATGTGTCGTAGATATTAAACTTTGCAGATATCTTGATGTAAAATAAATCGAAAATAACAAAATTAAATTAATTCTCTAAATGTTGCATCCCGCATCATTCGACCAATAGTAAAAAAATATTGACAATAATTAACTACCCAAATGATTGTTCCTTATAATCTTTAATGAGGAGTATCATCAAGTTTAGATTATCTTGATTGTAATAAATCTTGTTTATAATGTATTCGGCATTATAACGGACTTGTCTGTTACTTGATCTCTTCATCGCTTTTAAGGTTAATAGCTAATAATAATAGAATACATTTTGCAAAGGTTTAATCAATATACATAATAGAGGATAAAATTGCATGACACTCACCATTTGTTTCAAACATTCAAGTCCGAAATGTATATTAGACCACAACTATAAAAAGAAAATTCAATGTTAATGTTATTTTGACCGTAAATCGGGTAATGAAATTTTCCAATAATATGAACCTTATCATTCCTATCGTTAACAATCTGATTGAAGACAAAATAAAATCCTTGCAGGGAAATTATATTGGTAACATAATCAAAATTATGTTGCGGTTGCGACGTCGTGAATTCATCAAACGTCAACTCTTCAATAGATTCATGATCTTGCAAATGATTCCTGAACTCGAGGAAAAACCTCACCAAATAAAAAAAATGAATAAAATCCTTTCCTCTCATTTTATCCGAACAATACATGAGTGAAGGAATCAAATCTATATTTATAAAAATAGATCATAAATCATCGAAAGCTCGTAATAAAGTTGTACAAAGAAACACGATTGAGAAGCGAACTATACCATTAAATGCTCGCTTTAGAAATAGGGTTGCCACCGATCTTAAACATCCTTGCGCAGGACCTCGAAGCCTAACCGACTTTCTTCTCTTATCATACTCATCCTGATCGATTTAACTCAATATAAGTAATTCTTCATAAGGAATTATTGATAACATAAACTAACGTACCACTTGAAGTTTTCGTGTTGGCTTATCCTTTTTAATGCTATCCACGACTTCCGTCACTAACCCTCGAACTGCATCTCGTTTGCGGACTGTATATTCTTTTCCCTAATAATAAACGTGCACATGATGATTTTTAAATCATCTACAATATACAAATCAAATCATACTCACGGGTACATTTATCCAGTAAGTGCCATTATGACGGGTATTTCGCATACGGTTTGATGCTTTTTTATTCAATTCTTCTTCTAACAACTTTTGTGCTCTACTCTCCGATTCCTGGTTAAACCATACTAAAGTAAGTGAAAAATTGATGAAGACGGTAAGAAATCATACCATCATTTATGTTCTATAGTTCACCGCTTTATGGTCTTTTAATAGATCACGTGGATCAACATTATAAAATGTATGATAAAAAATTTCTGAAATTATCAAGTTCCACTGCGATAATTCTTTCTTGTTTGAAATGAGATTAAAAAGGGCTTCAAAAATATTCCCTTCTTGATATAATATAACCAGTTGATGCTATGAATACGAAATTGTTAGCATTTCCAATAATTTGAAAGTGGATGGAATCCAATTATATAAACCTGCATCACAACTCCGGGAACGTGTTGGACTGGTACATCCTCGATTGCAACCAAATTATTGTAAAAGCTTAATAATAATCTAATGACATCATCGTCTTTCCGAGACCTCCTGCCCATTTCCCTAAAATAAACATCCATTGGTAGATTACTAAATAAGCAAAGTAATCGTAAACAAAAATGTCCATAATCGTACCATCTTTCTTCAGACAAATAGGTGTTCAAGAAACCTAATATCGCTCGAAATATTTCTGAATTCTTCTCAAATACTGCCTTATAGTCAGTATGTGATTTTAAGCGCTCACTCATTTTCCGATCAAACTGTGACATATCATAATCCTCTTCCGACTCATCATTGATAAAATCAAGTTTTTTCAGATCGAGTGGTGAGGTCATCATAACAAACAACTCAACTAAGGCATCAAGATCAAAAAGAATTTCAATTAAACAGTTAAAGGAAACACGATTAATGTATCAATAAATCTTACCACACAGAAGAGCAAACTTTTTTTGATTTTCGTCAGTGATGTCTCTGTTTTCCATAAATATAGGAATCAAATCTTTCTCTAAAATTTTCCATTTCCAAAGGTGACAATATATATCCGAGCTTAAATCATCCTCGTATTGAAGTTGTTCTTTTATATACCGAAGGTAACCTTTATTTAAACATAGGCGTTTATTATTATTAAAAGCATACGTATCAAAAGACGCGTTTGTACGCGTAAATTGTTCAGTTTAAGCCTCTAACTTGGAATCGAAGGAAGAAAAGGACTACCAAGACAATCGTCACTTAGGCAATATTTTGAATTTTGTCCGTCCACTGATTTCTCCTCATACTTTCTCAGCGAATTCAGAATTCCGAAAAGTTGTTCCGGCAATTCTTCACTATGAGCCATGCTTTTTATGTAACTATAATAATCGAAGAACTTTTATGAGGAGTTGAGACATTTAAAACCAGTAAGACGCGAAAATTTCGATTTCCATATTTGTAACGTCACAGGGTGGCGTTTATATTTGAAGTTATAGTATAATAAAAAAATTGACCTTTTTATTTCTTCATATGTATAAACATATACAGAATTGAAGTTTGTCCTCAAAGGCACAGTATATTATCGATAAGAATATAATAGCTAATTCTTTTTCTATCAAGAATATAAAAAAAAAGAAATTATATAATTACTAAATAACTATTATAATTAGAGATGCACTGTATATAATATCTTTTAAGTGAGAAGTAACATACAATAGTAAAGAAAAACAAATATCAATATAAATTATATTGTTGTAATTTGCAAATAGGTTTTTAAAACATTTGAACAGATTGTATGAATTCATTAGTAGTTAATATAGGAAAATGAATGAGAATAAAATTCTGAAATTTGTTCAAAAACGAGTTATATAAATAAAAAATTTTATTCTAATACACAATTATAATTTTAATACTTTATAATAATAATGATTTTATTTTTTAAGCTTCTATGAAATGTTTATAATGTTTATAGAGTTTATTTTTTTATAAGGGGTTGCAAATACAACGTTATTTACAAAATGTGAGATATGATTCAAGTTCACACCAGCACGTGTTTAATGATACTGTGATTATTCTTTCGGGAGAACAGAATTTTTTGATGAAATTGAACATTCACTTTCTGCACGAATTATTAACTTTTCCCAATCCAATTCAGTAAAAGTACGTGCCAACGATTGTGAAGGATTCCAACTTAGCTCTCGGTCTCGGAATTCCTGTTCATCATCATCATCAATAGACACTATTACCTCATCACAGATTACTGGGTTAGCATCGGATTTATTCCTATTTATACGATCTACCATATCATTCACATCCTTCTCTTGTTTTTTTAATCTACGTTCCCAATTCAACAAGTTCAATCTTTTGTCCACTAAATCCTGTGCAACTTCTAATGCTGTTTGCAACCGTTTTTCTTTTTGTGTTAATTGACCTTCGACCCTATTCAAACCTTCATTGGCTTTTTTAAGCTTCTTTAACAGGTCATCAAGAGATTCATAAGCAGCTTCAGAATCGCTTAACGAAAGGGAATCTAGCGATTGACTTCAAAAGGGAATTGACCTTGATTAACTTGAGTAACTTAAAATGAGTAATTTCCAAAAACACGTTGATGCATTAATACAATACCCGAGTGTATCTATGGTTTCTCGCGCATTTCTCCCGGTAATTGTATCCAAAAGTTCATTAAATATTTGTTTATTATTTTTTATCTTTTTATCTCGCTCCATTATTTCCTTTTGCCTTTCTATAAGATCGTCCACAATCTTTTGAGTCACGTCCAAAGTTTTTTTATAGCGTTCCATCGACACCTTATCTCGTGTATTTATTATTCTTTTTGCTTTTCGAATCTTTTTCAAAATAGATAACAAAGTTTTTGAATTGTGTATTGTTGATGCCTCAAGATCCGATGAAAGCTCCTCAGAACTAATGTATCCTTCAGTTGAATTAATCGACTGCGATGAAATTTCCACGTTATCATCTTCATTCAGTAGCGCATGTGGATTGACAAACCCACGAGAACCCTTTAGCCAATTTCGAACCTTCAATATGGAATTCATTTGGATTAGTGGTTGGTCTATATGCACTAATTCATGTTGATCCAATGAGGTTGGGGATGGAATACGTGGGTCTAATTGTAGAATTTCAGTAAGTGGAATTCCGTCGGTAAACTTGTCCTGAGAAATGGGATCAATTATTGAATCAAGTGACTGACTCTCATTTGAAAGGGTATTTCCGGTAAGATGCGTACTGTAATGAAGAGAAGGATCTGGATTATCATTATCATCATTGCTCGACGTCTTCGCATCAGAGATGGTCGATAAAGGAAGCAACCTTTCACTAGAAATCTCAGTAAATGATTTTTCTGGTGTTAAAGCGTCTACAATACGCTCATTCAGTTTTTCGGCTTTTCCATTACCTAAAGCCCAACTAGTGAATTGTGGTTTATCAACTTCTTTTGACATTGATAAAAAGGACTTCCAGCTAATATTTTCGGGTTTCATGTTCTCCCAATATTTTGTATATTCGTCATCTGAATCCCGAACGTTCAATGCAGAATCTCTGGATTGACAAACTATTTCAGCCATAAGTCGTCTTCTTTGATCTCTTCGAAATTCTTCTAATTGCCCCAGTCGTGGGTGTGTTTCTTCTTTAATTACCTGTCCTTCAATCTTTTCAAACTCAAGCCTTCGACGTTTTTTAGCTCTATGCCTAGATTTATATTTCATGTACGAGTGAATGTCGCTAGGATCACGTTTTTTTTTTTTTGGTTTTACATTTTTAACATGTTCATTATTAGGATTATCTTTTTCTCGGGAAAATCTTAAATCATCATTTTTAGGGAATGACTGATCGCGTGATATGCTATCTGGTTTTGACTTTGATAAGCATAATTCTTCTCGGACTATAAAATTATTATAATGTACGTTTGTCTCTTTTTTCTTTTCAGAGGACGCGTTATGGTGCTGGAGAACATCATTAGCATTTAAATCAACCCATTGTGGTAAATGTTGTTCGGGCACAATTTGTAGATTTTCGCCAAATTCACGTTGCTTTTGAGCCTTCACTAATAGTCTAATATCTTCAATCGATAACGTCTTATTTGATGACAACTCCTCAAACAAATCATATTCTTCAGGTTCAAAAAATTCATTATCCTCTTCAGCATTTTCCCAATTTTTCTTGACAGCAAAGGCAGTTTTCTCACTTTTTCCTCGTTCTTCAATCTTTGTTCTCTCTCTGTAATGCGGAAATTGAGTACTCAACTTCTTTAAAATGTAACCCTCAAAACCTTTTAGTGAATTGCCTTCTGCGGTACTGCGTGGAGTTCCAACACGTTCTTTGATCGAACGAGGACTTTCATATTCAACATTTCTTGATTGCAAATCAATATTGTGAGGTGAGTTTTTTCTAGTGCAGTGACCTAGAGAACTTTTCATATTTTACAGTACACATTATCATTAAAGATGTACTAATAAGATGAAATAACTTCGAAGTCACATGATACAAGTAAAATGTATGCCGAGGTTTAAAAAAAAATCTTTTGTGGCCAACGCTATGGGTTTATATAGATACAACAACGCGTCACAGTTTTAATCGATTTTCCAGACATGCACAAATCTCTTCCTTTCATGAAATTCGAAGAGAACGAAGTTCTTCCACAAAATTCTGATTTGCTCGAAAACAAACCTAAATTTGAATTGGCAAGCACCGAGGAAACTCCAGCTCCTGTCAATTCAGAAACCTTTATTCCAGAAAAATTGAAGTCCAGTGAAACTAAGCCTCGAGATGTTAAACCTGTATCAACTATTCCAAGCACGTCTCCGGCTGTTCCATTATTTACGTTATGGGATTACTTTAGAGATGAATTGTTTTCTTGTGATTTCGATTCTCTGCAAGAGCTAAAGCGAGAAAGGGTAACAAATTTTTTGAGTATTCCCTGGGCTATCGAAAAAGTACGTCAAAACATTTCCTGAATCAAAAAGGTATTCTGTCTTGAAAATTAATCGATTTCATCGATTTCCGTCTAGCTTATGGTATTTGGTTTTTTCATCTGCATGGATTCATTTCTATATACTTTTACCATACTTCCTTTACGCATAATTATTGCGTTTTATTATTTGGTTACTCGTTTCTTTTACAATTTTAAAAAAAAAAGGTAACCTGAAAAACGTGAAAAAAAATTTTCTTGAAAGTGCACGAACTTCTAACTTATATCACGTGTCAAACAGGACCACGTATCTTAATACATCTCAATTGTGCGATTTGCTCAAAGGTCTTTTGATAATACTCGTTTATGCATCATTGCAAGGTGTCGATGCAGCACAGATGTATCACTCAATACGTGGGCAATCGGTAATCAAGTTGTATGTCATATTCAACGTTCTTGAGGTAATTGGAACGTCAATCTGACGTACGGGGTACTTTGTCCTGTTTGACTTCAACTAACAACGACTTCATTACAGATTCTCGACCGATTATGTTGTTCGTTTGGTGGAGATATCCTTGATTCTCTCTTCTCCAACTCTACTCTTGGCTCTAAGAATTCCTGTTCTAGTGCTAGTAGGCATTTAAGACCAATAACCTTCTTCGTCATGGCGTTCGGTTATATATGTATCCTCTATGTTTAAATGTTGAGTTTTGTCATGATAATATATTCACTTCCTTAACATAGACTTATTTTATACAGTATCGCATACAATAATATTGTTTTACCAGGCGATAACCCTCAACGTTGCGATTAATTCGTATTCTAACGCACTATTAACGTTGCTATTGTCAAACCAGTTTATTGAGATTAAGGGTTCGGTGTTTAAAAAATTTGAAAAGGAAAATTTGTTCCAACTAAGCTGCGCCGGTATACATTTTATTTTTCAAAAATTCTAGTTTAAATAATAATATTATTATTTACATCCTATGTCATCTTTGTTCTCTTAGATATCGTGGAACGTTTTAATCTCGCACTTTTCCTGACTGTGATCACTGTTCGTAATCTTATAGAACTTTCGGGCTCTCCAACATCGCCATCTTCGATCTTACCCACATCATTTATTCCCCTTTTCCCAGCAATGACAACTGTCGAAACATTGTTGACACCAGTAATTATCGTTTTAGTTTCGGAGTTATTGGTAGATTGGTTGAAACACGCATTCATCACCAAATTTAATCAAATTCGACCAAGCATATACGATCGGTACATTGATGTTCTTTCCAGAGATCTTGTGGTTGGAAATCCCACGAGGATCCGTGATGGAATGAATTCTTCCTATAAACCAAAGGTGACTGGAAAATTAATGTTGTTCTAGGCAAAGAAATTATATTTACTTTAAAAAAACTCCATCTAGACTTTTGTTGATCAATCACCCATAGTATCACGTCGAATTGGTTTTGCGTCGTTACCTCTTGCATGTTTGGTGAGTTGGGATTTGTAAATACCATTTCATCATTTCCTTGCTTGTCACTCACTCACTTTACAATTAAATAGACGATGAGCGTGGTTTCCCAAACTATAACAATGATATCTGATTCGTTACACGAGCTCGAAGAAAATGAACACAAAAATGTAGCCTTTACTAATGTGGTTACCCAATCCGGAGGCGTATGGTTTCTTTATTGCGTCTTAACGTTTATAATGTAAGCTCGTTTTAATTGAAGAGCTCCAATCAATGATCTGACATTAATTATTCATCGTCATTTTCTGAATTTACGGTTTTATAATTGAAGGCTTATTGTTCTCAAATTCTTTGTTGGGATAAATCTTCTTGGATTTGCACATCGACGATATGCGAATATGGAGTTACGTGATGCAGAAGATCGTGCCCAAGCACTCCAACTTCAAGAGCATGAGAATGTAGAGAAAGAACAGAAGGTAATTAAATTTTAATCATATACTGAGAATTATGTTTATCTGATTTTTAATTATAAATCTATTCAAATAAATAGCAAATTAGAAATCAACTTATTAACAATCCCAAAGATGACGTGCTATGGCAAGAAAAACCGCAGATCACTTTGGATAATATTGATCGCTACACATTGTTTAAGAGTCGGATTCCATAATAACAAATTCATGATAAAATGCATACGATTCTGCCCAACTTTGGTTGGAAATGTTATTCGAACAACACTTAAATTATAAGAATATGACTAATATATATCTAATCAAAATAAATAGATAATTTTAAATCAGTGTATAATATAGATGTAATAGAATTTCGAATTTCTTAGAATTAATTTAATAGAATTCGTAGCTCTTTAATCATTATTACTTTCCTAAGGAAACTTTGTTTTGCGCTTTCTCATTTTTAAATACAAAACAAGGAATTATAGATTACAAAGATTAATTATAAGCAATTATTTTATTGTCGGTTAATTAGTTAAGTTATTTATAGCAATACTAAGTATTTAAATTATTTATCTAGACAAATTAAAATTTTAGTGAAACTAATAAATTAAGTAAAATTATCTAGTGCTAGGCAAAACTTTTTTTTAATATTAAATGAAAATTATTGAAAATTAAAATATATTTTTTTAAACTAAAATCACATGTTTATTAAATCAGATCAATCCATTACAAATATTAAAAAGAAATATATGTATCAACCTATTTGATCTAGCTTATCTGTCAATGCATAAGATCTCTAAAAATATTTATTATCATTTATAATCAATTAAACTATTTAATTAGAAATTATAATAAATCAAATTAAATTGGATTTTAATTAAATTCAATTTGTTTTGTTTTGTTTAATATACTCTATATTAATTAATTTTAAGTTCAAGTTATATTTATTTATTTCAATTAAATCATATTTACTTGAACTTAATTAAGCAGGTTTTAATTAACATGTTTTTTTTTATTTTTAAATATAAATTTTATTGATACAATTAAAAAATTTTATTAGATACTTGAAAATTTTTCTATTTATTAAATCTATAATCAATTATTGTTTTCTATATTAACATAATTTTTTATATAATTGGTATTATTTTTTATTATCAAGTCTTTAAGTACTTGTAAAATATAAATTTGTTAATATCAATAATTTATATAATATACAGTATATATTTATTTATAGTTATTATTATTTTTTTAATAAAGTTTTAAGATAAATTATATATTATATTCTTTATCAATAATATTGTAATATTATATAATTTTAGATCTGTGAGTTTATAATATAGTGGCTAATGCTTCACATATCAAATTATAAAATATCAATTCAACTTTATTTTTTTTTTTTTTTTGTAGGTAAACATCATTTCTTTATTTGGTTTGTATATAGCAGGGTATACATCGTGAAAGAAACAACATCTCTCATATGTTGATACAATGAGTTAAATGCTAGCTT